ATGTCGCAGGCTCCCTTTTAACACCCTGAGGTCTGAAGCCTGAACCTGCGAATCGATTCTCCCAGGCTTCGAAATTTGAATCCCTGGACCTGAGGATCTTTAGCTGTAGGGTGCTAGTAGGCATTGTGGTTATCTCACATCAGTCATGAATGCCGGCAGACGCTGGTTTAGGCAATCCCTGAGCCCCGAACCGAAACCCTGAACCCCGAACCCTAAACCCTCGACACTGAAGCTTGATGCCTAAGTCCGAGCTCTCTGAAACTCCATAAACCCTAAACCCTGCGGTGGAACCCTCTCGGAAACTCTAAACCGCAACCCGAAATCTGTGAGTTGGAAAAACCCTAAACCCTCGACCCTGCGTTGGAAGAAGTAGGATTTGTTGCCCACCGTTTGTGCCCGAATGCAACAAGATTGGAAGAAATACAAGTTGTTGCCCAGCTTGTGCTGGAATGTAAACTGTTGGTCGAAGAATGTAAAGCATTGGAGCAAGTACGATTTGTCGCCCCACAATTTGTTCCATGTGTTTTGGCGGGCTACTGTACCCGGTTCTCGTGCTCTGCTAAGCTGTCGCGGTTGGCCGCATGCATTCCATGGTCGAGATGTGGAGCTTACGATGTCCGGCACTATCAGAAGCAGCCTCATACGTGGCAACATGCCATTGGCGCGGCCTTTCTTGAAGTGCACTGGTCGCAGAGGCCGAGTGCATGACCAGTCCCCAACATAGGAACAGTTAGTCGCTGTACCCTGAGAATCAGACAACTTGAACAGCAATACTGCTCGCACTACGAACGTTTCGAATAGCTACAGCAATCATAGCAATCAAAAGCATTGAAATGCGGAGTTTCGGCTTACGGTCCAGTACAGAAGCTTGGGCCTTTGGCGTTGGACCGAAGATTTTTGAAGACCCTGCGAAGTCACGTAGGCCCAAGCCATTCGCGAGTAATGAGTACATGCTTGCGCACACTTGGGCCTTGCCAGCGCTTGCGGGTTGGAAGGCATCACATGAGGACTTTGCGGAATGAGGTTTTAAGCTTCCAGTTTTTCAGCTTGATCACGATCTAGAGTAGGGGTGGCCACTATATCTCACCGAAAGAGAAGCTTCGTCGGCCAAACATTGCAAGCCCCTATACGCCCTAGTTGCCAGAAGAACTGCGAGCGGCTCCTGCAACAGGTCCAGGAAGGCCGGGCAGTCCTTCCTGTTGTAGACCTGAATCTCACAGCACCCAGAACGGCAAAGAAAGCCGTGCAAGAAAATTCCAAGAGATGGCAGTTGGGGCGATGACCCCAACCACGAGATCGCCCTCTTCGTGGAAAGCAGCCTCCTGGTGGTGCGTATACATCGAAATCAGCTTTGAAGTCACCCTATCGTACCCTGCAGTATCATATTGTCGCCCTTTCCCACTCATCTGCTCACTCCAAAGATTCGATGCAATGCAAACGCACGGATGATTTAATGGTTCTAATGGTCACCGGCTTTGCCACCCGCCAACGCAGGACAACACGTGCGCGTTCTCTAACCAGCAAGCAATTGGATGCTTTGCCCCACGGTTAACTACTAGGGAGGACCCGGCCAACCGCAGCCAACCTTGATGACACGGACGATGTGCACTCCACCGCAGGACACATGCAAATCCCCAAGAAGACTGCTCGCAATGGACAGAATCGTTATCAGTGCCACCATCGTCACGACCATAATCACCTTCATCACCACCAGCATCAGCACCTCCCATCACCGTCCTGCCTCAGCAGCACCGAACCCGTACAAAAAATTCCAGATGGTTTCGGGGGTCCTCGAAGTGCGAAACCCTGCAGCTTTAAGACTATGAATTTCGAGGGCCAACGACCAGGGTCGGACTGCGGCATTGGACTTACAAGAAAGAAACGTCTGGAATAACAGTAGTAGTCATTCAGGCCCTTATATTGTTTGTGGCCTGGTTGACATGTGGGCTGGCCAGGGCCACCGAGCCCAAACATCCAAGGATCAGACTCGACAGTTTGGAAGCATGCATGTGTATAGGTTTCAGCCACTAAACAAGATGTCCTGAGGACAAGGATCCTGCGATTGAGGCTATGCTTGAATTCCTGGCGCGGCTTTTCTTTCGGATTTGGGGGTGGAGGAGACGGCCATCCAGGTCATCATGCATATAAACAAGATGCCGGTCATCAGCTGTCTTCAGCAACTTCAGAGTAGCATCTCTGGCACATCACGCCAGTTCTGAGGGTTTCCATGAAGGTCCAATTAGGGCTCTGCTACGGGTTTGCGAAGGAACTAAAGGAATGAAGGTTGAAACGCTGGGGGGGGGGTATGTGACCAGCTAGCTTGTCCGATGCTGGGTTCGATGTACATAATGACATTCTCCGCATCCCGAACATACCTGCAATCAGATCAAGGACTAATCTAACGGGGGTCGACGGGTGCCTGAGGCCTGCACGACTTCCGACGTGCCGACGGATGCCCGCGCCAGCGCCGGCGCCTCCTGGCTTCACTCGCAGTTATCGGCGTGGGCAGTACACGTAGGGTGTAGGATGTTGGGTCTCAGGGGCTTGCATTTTAGGTTTTGATGCTTCAGGGGCAATGAGAAGGGTTCTTCACTTCAGTTGACCTTATTCGCAAACACAAGCGGCAAGCGGAACACAACTTCTGTCTAGTCTATAGAGCTTCCATCCACCAAGCATTCTCTTAAGAAAGCCTAGACTCGTAGCAATCACTACATCCTTCAGAAGTCTACGCCTAATCAAGGAGGTTTCCTCAAGTGTCCGCGCGGGCGTCTCGACGAGGCAGAGGGACATCTTCTCACCAACTCACCCAGGACCACAGGTCAGTGAGCCGAGCACCTTCGCTGCAATCGTAGCATCGGTACATCACGACTGTTGTCACAGGCTTGCCATGAAGGCCACTGTTAAATATAGTAGGGGCTAGTACAGGTCTTTCGCCGTTAGGGCCTCCGGCTTCAGAGATTTTCCGCTTCGAAGCTGAGCTCTACGATGGGTCTTCAGCACATCTGAAAACTCATACATCTGCCCATGCCCAGCAAAACTGCCCAAAAAGTCCTTCAAAGCGCTCGGAAACGGCCCACACGCACACACACACACACATTCACATTCACATTCCCTGTGCAACCTCGCCAACATGCAAAAACTTTAAAAAAAAACACAGCCTGTATCTCCAAGCCCAAAAGCCTTGGAGTCCTCAACCCTGCAAACCCCAAGCATCCCCAAGCCCCACGCTCGACACCTCTGGCCAAATTGCTGGAGCGGGTCGGAGGAAGTTCTCGATCTGCAGAAGCATCGCCAGCATGGCCTCATCCTCCCCAAGGTTTGGGGCTTTCTGGGCTTTAGGGCGTAGGGTGTCGGGTTCCGTCAGGGTGCAGGGGTCTGAAGGGGCTTTCTAGATGTTAGCATATCTTGCGGCTGGGATCAAAACGCGACCAAACCCCCTTGAGACTCTTGCGCCTTCTTACTTTTCCGGGGGTGGAGCCCGTCACTTCTTCTAATCTCCGGGCTTGGGTCGCTTGGGTCGAGCTTGAGGTATCTACCCTTGACCCTTGGGGCTCGGGGCCTCACCTGGCGGTGTGCGATGTAGGGCCTAAAGGCTCCCCACAACTCGGGCTCCCTTTTGAGGCTCATTTTGAACAATTCCTGCACACTATCTTCGGGTTCTATTTTATAGTTAGCAAGCCGCCCGAGGTTTGGCTTCAGGATTTCAGGGTTGTGAGGCCTTGCAGTGACAGCGCTCATCTACGCAAAAAAGTCCTATAATCCCCAACTGTCCCCATAGACCGCGGCAAGCTGAAGTGGAACTCGGCCTTCCAGCTGCTGGGCCCGAAAGCGGAAGGACCTTCGCAGTGGCTCAGGCTTTGGGCAGTGTCGGCTCTCGTTCGCGGAGAAAGCGCTGCGCATCCTCGCACTGGGCCTTGCCGGCGTTCCCTCAAGAGACGTGATGCTGGCACATAGTAGAAGGAAGTTCGGAAACGGGATGCCACGCAAGAACGCCCGCCCGAACACCCGCTAGCTTCGTGGCTGGTCGCCATTGTCGCCAGCGGCAGAGATTGCAAACAGCAAAAAGGAGAAGAAAGCCGGCGACCGAAACCATCAGAAGCTTTGTGACCGAGGCCGCAGTTTGGCTCGCTCGACGATCAATGACACAGGGTCTGACCAGAGACTCCAGACTTCCGCAATTTAAAAACAACCCATGGATCCGGACGGATTTCAGTGCCTGGAACTTCACAGCGGCTTCCAGGAATGGTGCTCGCCCAAACCGGGCGGCTGACGGGCTTCTTGGGTCGGCGCTGGAACCCCTGAAATTGCTCCTCACCCCCGTCACCATAACCCTAAACCTGAAAATCTCAAGCAACCTTACACAGATGCACATGCTCTCCAATTAGCTGGAAGTGACCGGGCTTGTAAGGCGTCATAGGGTTTAGATGGGTTTCGGGTAGCGGGCTGGGGCCCAGCGTAGCCGGATTCTGAACTTTCCTCAGCGTGGAGAAGTTGAAAGGCCCTACTCGGGGGGGCAATAGCGGTAGTCGTCGTCGTTCGTCGTCGTCGCAGTAGGAGGAGCAGCAGCAGCAATCGCAGAAGTTCGTCAACGTTGCAGTCGCAGGAGTGCGAGCAGCAGTGTAGCTTTAGCAGTATCAATGCCAGATGCCTCTAGACATGTTTTGCACTTACTCTGGTAAGCCAACAAGCCTACACGGCCCACACGCCAGGAGGATTCAACCACCTGCAAACTCAAAACCGAAAAATACCGAAACTGAAACCCTGCATACTGCATACTTTATAAACCCAAGTCCCGGAGTCCACCCTCTGATAAATCACTAAGCTGCATCCTGACAAAACTTCGTTAGAATCATCTGCCAACCTCCGTTCTGAATGCAGGCCAGGCCATCAGCCATAAAAGCGAAGGCAGCTCTACAACTGGCCCTGACTGACACTACAACGAACCCTCCACTCTCCGAGCTAGCGCAAGTGAGGTGCTGCTGGGCAAAGGAGGTTGCCCACAGTGAAGAGCACGCCACCCAGAGCTGCCAGCGGCTCAAAATCCAGAGGCTCCTGTTGCAATGAGCCTCGGAAGCAGCCGCTCATTCAAGCTGATTGCTTGTCTGTTCCGAAACTCCAGGTATCTGGGAGCAGAAGCCTGAAGATGCCAAGATTCCAACCGCTAGACGCTAGCCCTGAAGCCTGCGCCTGGCAAAACCCTGGTCCCGCCTGTGAGCAGGCCCACCAGCAGGATCCCTGCGGACATGGCGAAGGTGAAAAAGATCCCATCGCCGGTGTCGTACCTCTGGGGTGCCGGGATTAAGATCTTGGATCTTGCGGTCTCAGGAACACGATTGCTTTTGGGAGGGTCATACTATCGATTCTGAATGCTAAATTAAGAGGGTTGGCCAGACTTATGCACTCATTGGGATAAGTGCCCGACCCGCCGCTTCAAAACTTTACAGCAAAGCACAACACAAGGATGTATGCATGCATGCTTTGCATGCAGCACATAACTACCTCGATGCAGGATCTTGCTGGATAAGTTGAGTAAGTAATTCCCTCCCGCGAACCATCCACAAAAGACTTCAGCAAAGCAGCCGTTTGACAGGCAGATAGTTCACTGCGTAGGCAACACTGGCGAGCAAGCAGCACACATAGCCCAAAGCAAGATGGCTCACCATCGCTCCCAACCAGTTTTGTTCAATGTTGGGTTCGGTGCTCGAGTCGTGCAACGACTACTTTGACATGCAGATGGCTCTAGTTGCACACCACGTCGGTAGTTCAAGATGCATAAATTGCATACATATATGTACCTAGGTTTCAGCTTGAGGGACTTGAAACCAGGAGTGGGGCCGCGGTGACATCACGTAAAAAGCCACACAATCCGGAATGCCCGACAGTCTTGCAACTTTACCGCCTCAACGGCATACCAGAAACAACTCAGTCCCAAAATGACTTCATCGTGCGTGCCTGAGGACTACTTGATACCGTTCTTGATACCAGGTCGGCTAAACTGGGTGTCAAGCTCCAGTAGTGCGCTTCATGCTCTTACTGAACCCACTTGTTCGGTCAGGGTGTGCGACCCAGATGTGCGGACATGACAGGTGAACGCCAAGCTTGCGATGAAATCATACCCCTTGCCGCGCAGCCATCACATCCGAATGCAATGGCATGGTCTCAAGTACGTCCCTGAAGCCAAAAATTCCGACCAGCCTACCAAGTCCAAACAAGCGAAGCCAAGTGCACGTCTGCCAAACGAGGTTTGTTCAACTCATCCAATTACATCAACCGACACCCTGCACAGATGTCACCAAATTCCATGCGTGCCTTTTCTGACTGTCCAGACAGGAGGTGACCGGAATGTTTACTGTTTGAAACCTCTGGCATTGGACACGCTGCCGCATAACATGCCACGAACAAAACGGCTATGTTGAACTACCTTCCGGATTCTGTTGAAAAAACAAGCTCGACACCGAACCAGACACAAATGATCAATCATAACCCACAATGACAAGTTTGAATGGGTGCCGGGGTTCCTGTTATGCTACAGTCTGTAACGTGTGTGGGCCGGTAAGTTGGCATGCTCGTGAATTCACGTCGTGGTGCACCTTCTGGGGAGTTGCTTCCTCTCCGAAATTGCTTCCAGTCACCAATCACCAAAACGCCATGTCCCAACACCAATCTCAATGATAGGTGAGCCCATTCCCGGAAACGCTCACAACAAGCAATGACCGATCTCGATGCACTACACTTGCACTTTCTGTTGATCCGCCAAAGACTGATGGCGACATTTATAGTTGCAAAGCCTCGCACAGCAGGCACGGGTCGTTTTTCCAACCATGTCCCGGTCACATGTGCTTCAGCTGGCTCACGACAAGGCACGACCTAGCACGTGGAACGTGATTTGCACAATTCAACAACCACTTGCTATCTTCATCGGCCACGGATCCGGGCTCGGCTTTTTGGCTTTACTGAGTGGTTTAGGTTTTAGGGCATTTGGGGTTCAGGCGTGTTTAAACCCTAAACCTACCTGTGTAAAACCCCAGGAAAGCTCATGCATCTTTAAAATGATCCCAGCCGAGACGGCAAGTCCAGAGGAGGCAGGCAAGTTTTCTGAATAATTTAGGGTCATCCTAAGGTTTATGCTGTTTGGGTTTGGGTTTGAGGATCGGGTTTCAGTGTACAAAAACTTCAGACGATAAATGGACGCATGCTGACGGTATGGTGGCCCGAACAGCTAATGGAGCCCTACTGTGATCGCTAAATGGGAAACACATTTATATAACTATAGGGAAACGTGCTGAGCTGATCTGAGCTGCATGCGATCGCCAGCAGAATCGCCAAATGAGAGGACGGGTTTGAGAATCGTGATCAACCGGGATCGCCAAATGCAGGGCCCGTCTACTTAATTCAAAGGAGGGAGCGCACTCAAGAAATACAATGAAGCTGCCAAACATCCTGTAAGTAATTCAAAGGTTTCCTACAAGGCTTCTCCAAAGAAGCTCTGCAACAAGTTTCTGTTCGGATTTGATAGGGCGGTATGCTTGGAAAATGCAAAGACCTCCTAATCAAGGAACAGGCCCTGGGAAGCGCTGCAGTTAGGAAGACAACAGCGGAATGGCGGATTCTAGTTTTAAGCTGGCTTTGCTGGTGTGTTCGGATTACCAGTTTTCTGGGATTTGGGGCTCCAGAACTCTGTGGCTCCGACGAAGACAATCATACCATTCCCCGTTCTACTATTGTCATACTCCCCTGCGGTCTCACGGCACCATACTAGTCATCATGATCCCATTTACCAGGGCGACCACAAATAAGTCAGAAACCTTCCCTACCTCCCGCTACGGTTGCCATCTCCCGGCGCCTGGTGATTTCTCGGTTTGGAGGTTTTGGCCATTTACGGCTTCAGGGATCAAGGAAAAGGTTTTAGGGTCTAGTCTAGGGTCGTCGCAAAACACCTCAACACCATACGCAAACTATACCCCCAAAACCCTAAAGTTACTCCCCCTCAACTTTACAGAACTAAAGAATTAAAAGCACTACAGAATCCGGGACCTGAACCGTAAACACCCAGATAATCAACCCAAAAGCAAAAGCAGCAGCGCCCGCCTCAGCAGCCACAGGCAAGCACTGGGGGAACCTTGTTGGGAGGCGCCGGGGTGCGGGGCTTCTTGAAGGTTCATAGGACTCATTATGTAAGAAAGTCTTTTAATAGGAAAGTGTTACAAGCCATAACCTGGGAACCTTCAGGCGCAAAGCCGCTAACCCCAAGCTCCCAAGCGCCTGCAAAGGCATGGATTTAGAAATCTGCCTTTCGTCCTTCTGTGGGTATTTGCGTGGACCTTGACGGCCTCAGCCTCGAGCTGTAGAAAGGTAAGGTCAAAGCCACATAAGCAGATAAGGCGATTTCCCTTCGGGGTGAGCTTATACCATTCGTGTCCATGCGCTCTTGGGGGACCGTGGATGTGGGGAACTCTGAACCTGAAAAGCTTTCCAAGGGGTTGCATTGCCTAAGAGGTTTACGGTCTAAGGATCGGGCTTAGGGCTGAGCAGGCAGGACGCAACCATAGAACGGTCTAGAACGATCACCTACAGCAACAAGGTGAACATCGTCCTCAACCAACCTGCGGGAAGAACCTTCAGTGATTCAGACTCTCTGACAGTCCAACTTCCATGAACCCTAAACCTAAACCCGGAATCTCACCGAAGGCTTCAGTTCTGAGGAATTCAAGCCAAGAAACTGCCAAGGAAACGGTCGTGTTTCGAATTCCCTTGGCAAGCAGCTTCAAGTCTTACGGTCGTTGGCCTTGATTGCTTAGGGTGTAACATAGGGCTTTCATAATCAGAATAGGATGTATAGGGTTTTGGGGTGTGCTAGAGGTACACAAAGCCACGAAACCTAAATGACAATTTTACTAATCAGGCAGGCCCCTGAATTCGGGTTCAGGGCTTGGTCTTTCTTGTTTGGTGTCTTACTGGGTAGGGCTCAGTAGGACAAACACTTGCAACATTTCTGGTCTGAGTAGGATTATACCAGGAATGGTTCTCCAACATGCTCGCCGTCCGTGAAAATAAGCTTCCAGAGAAGCTTTCGAAGCTGCGCGTTCTCCTTCGCTGAGGAAGGCGCACATCCAGTGGAATCACTTCCTTGAGGGATCTTTCGGAATCTCTGGGGTTTTGCACACACGCGCTCTCTATGAGGGGCTTAAGCGGATCTTGATAAAGTTTCTTGTCTGAGGCTTTACGCGGAGTGGTTCTTAGGATTTCTGTAGAGCTTTGATACTTACAGTCTCATGAAACTGTCCTTGGGGTTTCATTCTACTTACAAAAATTACGAACATGGAAGGCTTCTAAGATTAAAGGGCTCTGCAGGTCCTGATGCAGCCGGTCTTTGTAGTGTTCTTTTGGGGCTTCATGTAGTGGCATTAATTCAAGCGCTTCGCGGGCTTGATGGTTTCTTTGCACGTTTTTGGGTACTCAACCCTGCCAGCATGTCAATATCCATGCGTGTAACTGTAATACATGTGTGTGAGCGCGCAGGGTTTGATGCTTACTATTAGTTACGCAAAACGCGAAACCACCGGCATTCCTAGGAGCCCACCAACAACATCTGCATATGGATACGGGCCCAAAAAAATGGGTTCAGTATGTTGTGAAGGCGAAACGGTAGGACCCGGTATACCAGCCGGCATCCCCGCTGCAGTCACGACGGAAGTCTCCCGCTCAACCAAAAACATCCTGAGCCTAATCCTGCTCCCGAGACCACCCGAAACCCCCCACATAAGGCCAGGCGCTTCCCGCATCTCTCTTCGCGGGAAGGGGATCCCCTCCTGGAGGGATGCAAACATCAAGCGCAACATTACCTTACCTGGAATTGAGTTTGGAATTTCGTGGGAGTGGCTTTGGGTTGAGGTTGTGCATGGCGGAAGCCTCGTGTAGCTGGATTGGTGGTGCAACTGGTTTGCATAAAGATGTAGCTCCGACTTACACGGTAGAGAGAGACCGAGAGCGAGAGCTAGACAGAGTGTGTGCGTGTGTGCAAAATGGCTTAGTGACGGCTGGTCAGGCCAAGGACTCGTTTGGGGTGGTTTCGGGGGCTTGCGGCCATGGGCTTACATGGCGGGTTGGGAGGAGAAATGCAAGGCTTCTCAGGGGTTACTGTAAGCCCCGTATCCAAATCCTCCACACCTCAGTCCTAAATCCAAGAAATCTAATTAACGTCCAGAGCCCCAAGACACTGTACCTTCAATTAAACCTCGAGAGCTAACAAGGATTCTCAAACGCACGCC